TTGTCGCCATTGTGTAGCTTTTGTGGAGTTATTATGAATATCAAATACATGTCTTGAAATATGGACGTGTAAAAGAGGACATCATTGAAGCATATGCAGTCTAACCCATTTAATTGGCGTGTATGGATATTTTATCCATTTACTCATACACACTTATTATGGACATATACAGAATTTCATTGTACCTTATTATTTAAAAAAATGCCCGTGAAGATCCGGGTTAGAATAGGCCTTCAACAACCCATGCTTGTACGAAGGCGACTAACGTAATCGGGGGGTCAGACTCGCTGACTTGGTTGCATGTCATCGATCCCAATTGCGTAGATCGGTGCTCTTGATGTCAATAACTTGATTGTCTGACCCAGACTGGATTATTTACAAACTGCCGTCATATAGCTGGTATATTGTTGAGTGCGGCGTTTAACATCAAACAATCAAACAAAAACTATTACTAAACACCTTCCAACAATGAGAAATTAAACTTTTATTTTTTTTATATTTAGTTTTATTTATAAAATAATTTGATTCATAATTTAATCATTGCGTTGTTTTCTTGTCTGTTATTCAATGCACCTGTTGAAACCCCTAAACTTTTAATACATGTATTTGATTTTTCACAAATGGTTACGTTAGTGAGTTGCCTCGATCTTTCGATACCTGCTCACACGAACAGATTAAAATAATTTGTTTGTACTATCATATTTCATTTTATTTAATTCATAATACGAAATTAATAATTCATTTATCACAGTATAGATCATATTCGTTTATATCACTATCTGATGTTAAGGTTTTATTGCAGAAATTATAATGAATTCAAAATGTAGAAAGAAACACAGTTTGCCATTATTTGAAATGCAATATTTCTCAACTTTTAAACTATACAAAGTATAATATAATGATTAGAATGCCTGTAACGAACAGTGTTTAAGAAAGAAATATTAGTCGAATAGTCCCATTTTTCAGATATGCCCTTCAGTAGTAGTATTGTTTATCTCCAGATAGATGTTAACATTGTAGTTCTCATTATTTGTGGATAATTCAAAAAGCAACATAGAAAATATATATTCTACCATGACGAAAGAATACAGAGTATACAATAACTCGCAATTGTTCAAAAAGAGATTTCAAATCACAATAACATATCTGATATAAACAGAGGTGGTGATGCTTTAATCTCCACATTGTGCCCTTGTTCATGAGCCCTTGTTCTATGCAGAAAGCAGCCCAAACCTGAAACCCCACAATATATCGGATTACACTGACCCAGGCCGCCCCACCTGGATTCTCTCAAACGTCAGTTCTCCATGCGATACTGACACCCGTGTACGTCTCCCAGACCATACAGAATAAATTTAAAAGGAATCCAACTCAAGTCTAGAACGATTTGGCAAGTCCAGATTGCCTCAATTCTATTAAACATTAATAAAACAATATTGTTCTTGGCTCCTTGAGATTATCAATGACAAGTGAGGATATCGTATAGTAATCGTTGATGCCGCGCTTCACTATAATAAACATTATAATCAAGTTGACTAGTATGTACATTACTACAGTGAACATGAACCTGATAATGCCCTTCGTAATATCAAATACTAATATGTTATTGTGTGATGAATTTAACTGGATTATTGGTGACATATGATATTAATATTCCATCAATTTCTTTCCTGTCTGGTCTATCCATGTCTACAAAATAGAAATAATAAAATTAAAAGGGAGGACAGAACAATTCTTAATTTCAGGCTAGAGCTGTGGAAATCTAGACTTTCCCAATCATTGTAGCCTTGCGTTGGTCTCATGTTTTACTTTATTCTCTTGGGTCTACGTCACAGCTCATACCATACGATAATAAGATCAGTTTGCCCCCCGCCGGAACTCCTGGATTTTGGTTATATCATCTATCATGACCAACTCTGCTCTTAAGTAAACAATAACCTAATCAGTGAGAGGTCCTTTATCATCCCTATTTGACTGCTTATAAAAATGTTATATCTCTCCTCACAGCTGGTTAATATATATTTTTGCTGCTGAATATTCGAAACAGAGTGATTGAGATGGTACTACACATGTATACGGTTCTATTTTAAATGACTGCAGCGCTCCATTATGAAAACAAATTGTTTTAACGCCGCTCTCAGTAGTATTCCAGTGATATATGACGGTGGTCTGTTGTATATGAAATAAATGCAAATTAAATCTTGAATCTTGAAAGTTGTAACTGTTCCGTAAATCAGTATCACATACAGTATATCAACTGCAATATAATGTAAACAACATGCAGTATACAGTGTGTCGCGAGCTCCGCGCTGGGCTGGAGCACACATTTCCTACCCCTCTCCCTTCGACAAACACCTCATGGGGGTGTAACGAGGTCACAGGTCAGGCGTGCACACGTCAGTTGTCTTGCACGGTCTTCCGGACGATCATTGCACTAGTGGAATATGGATTGTTCATGAGGTACAACGTGTTTGGAACTGGGAGTTGAACACTAAGCACTAATAGAGAAGAGCTCACAATAAAACGTTATGGACTCGCGGACGGACTTGTGATTTCAATCCAAGACGTGCATGTATGAGGTTGAACTTCTACGACAGAGATAACTTGGTTACCGCTCCCTAACTGTAACAGTGAGTGAGTATGGTTTTACGTCGCTTTTAGCAATATTTCAGCAATATCACGGCGGGGGACACCAGAAATTGGCTTCACACATTGTACCCATGTCGGGAATCGAACCCGGGTCTTCGGCGTGACGAGCGAACGCTTTAACCACTAGGCTACCCGACCGCCCCTAACTGTAACATTAACTTAACTTTACGCCTTTTAAACACATTTGTGATGGGGCGACAAAGCGACAACGAGACATATTTTGACATTGAAAATGTCCCATTACGGCATTGTCGCCCTTTTGTAAAATATAGAAAAAGATTATTCAAAGAGCGACAGTGCGACAACGCGACAATGCGACAAATGCTCAAAATGTCGCGATGTCGAATTTCGCGCTTTGGTTAATTTTAACACGTTTTTGCTTGTTTTTGTGAGGACGTCAATGCGACAATACGACAACGCGACAATGTTACTTCCAACATTCCAGAGTGATCCGTGCAAATTATGAAATAGACGTCTAACATGCCCATTAAACGATAAAGTGTAAAAATGCGCAATAGCAGCTTCTGATTTCATAGCTCTTTAAGAAGGATTATCAATAATGGGATGGGTGATGAGTTCATCTGCATGCCGAGTCTATACGCTGTGATTAACAATAATGCTCTGAGTCAATACATTTTGTCAAATGTATGACATGTATTACCTGTAGGAACATAGTGTTTATACTCGTCCGTGTTTTTGACGGACAATATAATAGTGAGGAGGGGCATCATTGAGTGTTTCCGTGCTTTGTTCAGGTGATCAATTGACTTGTCCTTGCATGTGTTTGTGCAGGTTGCATCCTGTGTGGCAGGATACGCTCACCTTTTCGCGAAAACCCATTGAATGGCCTGAACCACTTCGGATTTGTATCCCACATCAGTCTGATACACCGTGATATAACTGAAATACTGATCAAAGTGGTACCGTTGTTACTGAAACTGGAACTGTCCAAATTTTGTGTAGTGATCTTATGTAATATTTAAAATAAAGCATATTCAATTATCCAATTGATTTGATTAGAATATACTTGCGTCAGTGTATTTTATTAACGCCCAAAACCGTATTTGTTGAACACTTATAATAACAGATCATATACACGCATGGTGCCTTGACTTACTATTAGCTTTAATAGGCCATTCCGGAATAAAATAGTTCCCCAAAAAGCGAGGAACATCTGTTTTAGTTTGTTTAGAGGAAATGCATTCCAAGAATATCCTCATTAGATGAGATGTCTGTTAAGAACTACCTCAGTAAAACAATCACCATGACAGAGCTTCGTAGTACATTTACATCAAGTACAAGACGTCAAAATGGCCGACACGATAAACGTGACGGGAGATATTTCCGAAGTTGTTAATTAACCTGTGGCGATTTCAAGCCTTTGTCATCACTGATCAATTGGCCGATCATTTAAAGGTGATTTAAAGATGTGTCAAATAGATACTAAGGTAAATTCATAGATTGCTACAGACTGTCACTACGATAGTTTGGATTTTTGGGGGTTTTTTTCTCTGGGATGGTTTGTACCGAGGGTATCCTTGAACGGGCATGCAACCAAACTCTATGACTTATTCCAGAGTATGCTAAGACGCTACGTTCAAAATTAAAGGGTCTGAATGATGAGAAATAACGCTTCTGTATGAATTCGTACTAGGGAATTCCCAGGGTTTTCCCCAGGAATGTGGAAGTAGTCAGTGTTTGCGTCATTTCAAGAATACAGTCACGTGAAAATCGTCATGTGACCCACCTCTTGTCCTATGGAAAAGCCGTATATCGTGTAAACTTCACATTACAAAATTAGTTACTGTTATAACCAAATGAAACACAACCCATTATCCGATAGAGGTAACTGTGCATAGCGGAGGGATATGTTATCTCAATAAACTTGGTAACATGGTTTGGTTTGACTTCTTGGCGCGTGTCTGAATTCGATTAACATGTTACATATCCTAAAACTGACTCGTCAGCAAAACTCGCTGCACTGCGCGCGATAGATACTAGAGTAAGGAATGCCAGAAATACTAAACCTAATGCTTCCGAAAGGAAGCCTTGGGCATCACGTGCGTCGGGGGACCAGCGCCATCTGATTGGCCGTTAACAGTTGTACAAGGCGGAGTGAAATCATATGAACATACACACACACACACACACACACACACACACACACACACACACAGTGCTCTCAGGATAGGCCAGCTGTTTTGCTGTTGGACATGGTAACAGGCCAATCAGACAGCTATATTTCTTGACGAGTATTCATAATAAAGTATTCTGGACTAAACCAGGTGTTTCTGGATTTTCAATCAGACCATGTTTAGCCAAATCTAAAATTATGGAGAAATATTTCTTACCTGCTTTCATTGCTAGCCCGGCCTGATGTATGGCCACAAGGGATGATGAACAGGCAGTATCTATGGTCATAGATGGCCCTCTGAGATCAAAGATGAAGGACACCCTGTTGGATACAATGCTGCTGCCTGTGCCAGTTACGGAGTGGTGGTCTATAAGGTGTGCGTGATTGTTGGACAGCTGTGTGAAGTCATTGTTCATGCAGCCGATGAAGACACCTACTTTCTCTCCTTCTATTTGTTTCCTGGTGATGCCCGCGTCCTCCAATGCCATGAACGTGCACTCCAACACCTGGCGCTGCTGGGGGTCCATCTGGGAAGCTTCTTGCTCATTGATGCCAAACAGTTTGAAATCGAAATGAGCATAACTGCAAATAGAAATGTACTCCAAATATCACTGTTAGTACGATTCGTTTTGTGTTTTTATTTATCTCCAGGAACATTTATTACCAGAAAGACAGTTGAAAGTCTTCATGCTAACAAACCGATTGTTTACACACGTATTTATCGAACGTACACATGCTTCCACCTTCTCGTTACATACTAATCAGTAAGTAAATATGAACATACTTCTTAATGAAACCAGCTGTGTTGGCATATGTCTTGCCAGGAGCGTGTGGGTCTCTGTCATAGAATACATCCTTAATCCATCGCTCATCAGAGATTTCAACGACGTGGTTTTCTCCATTCACAAGGACCTGCCAGAATTCTCTGAGGCAGGAGGCACCAGGGAAGCGACAACCGATGCCGATGATGGCAACATCATCATCTGTTGTTTCCAGGTCAGTGTCTTTACTGCCTTTCCTAGACATCTCTTTCGTGAAGAATAATTGGAACGCTTTGCTAAAAAATATAAACACCAAGGAAAAGTGAAGAGATCTCTTGTGTAAATGACAACTGGAAATACTTTGTTCACTGGAAGAAGATCTACGAGGAATCGGCCACTATTTAAACCACATTTACGCTTACGGAATTCTGTCGTTACGTTAGTCAATTACATCTGTTTAAAGGGCAAGTTCACACGGAAATGAACCAATTTTTCTTGTACTTTTTCTACATTAAAAGTGTTAACATAGAAGTATCATAGACAAAAATATAAAAACATCAAATTTAATTAACATATTTTTTGCATTAAAACGATTTATATTTTTCACATTTACCAAGTGTTCTATTTCCATAACAAAAACACCATGGCTTATGCCCCTTGCAATATGACGTCATTGGTGCCAATTGATAAACATTATGACGTCATCATGCTTTGTTAGAGCCGCTTCACGTGGTGTAGGTACAGTTTTGTGATTCTAGCGTCTCAGATGCCAGCCAGAATTGTGTTACGCTGAGTCACCACTGCGCCGAGTGTGTCGTAGACCCATGTTGTTTTACCGCAAACTGGTCCTTGATATCTTTTGCGTTGAGAATAGACAGGGACCCAGTTGAATTGGCACCAATTACGTCATAATCTAAGGGGGATAACTCAGGCCTATTTCGCTCGTAAAACGAAGGCTTCATAACGGCATATCATTTTAACACTATTGTGAGCTTCCTACTTTCACTGTGAAAAAATATGAGTGTATATTTTCAAACACAGATACTAACTAATTCTAAAATTGCGTTTTGTTTAGAAAAAGAAAGAAAGTGATTTTTGCGTGTACACTTCCCCTTTAAGTAAAGCTGCTTAAAAGTTGAAGTCCTTTTCACCGTTCTACACATGATACAATGTATACTACTCAAAAGAAGTTAAGGATCACCTGATTCTTTCATATTACTATTGCTAATCTCTCATGTCATGACAGATTAACTTTACCATAGTATGAAAGAATCGGGTGATCCTTAACTTCTTTTGAGTAGTATATAAGGTTTGGTGCCAATCCATGGTGACATGGGTTCAGAATATGAAAATAGTGCATTACCATGTGTGCCCTCACGTCTCAACTGTTTCCAGAGGGTTTGAAAGTGCTGCAAGTGACAGGTCTATTTTACATATACTCCAAACGTGATTATTTAACGGCGCAATTCACCGAGGGTCTTTGAACAACTTGTAATTGCCAAATAAGACCTGCAGATTAATCTTTTCTTCTACCGTTTACTACTGGGTACCAACATAACCACCATGAGATGTCAAATGTTTCACTGATACTGAAAACACTAATATTTAAGCTTCCCCTAAGTGACATACACAGAAGGTGTTGTCTAACATTCGTGTTCCTCTACATGTGTCACCTATAACGGCAGAAAACATATTCTTAATTTTGATGGTCATTTATCAAAATGAAAGATATAACATTGGCGAAATAGTCTTTTATTATGATGCTATATGCCAACTGAAGTAGGTCGTATTATGTATAATGTATCCTACATAATAACATAATATTCACTTTATATGGTTTAAAAGACATCAGTGACGAATATCACTATTTGTTTTTGGCCCTATATTTGGTTACACAAAGACGTAGATTTGAACATTTCCACCAAGATCCGTCTTGTTGGGGTATTCGCAGGACGTCGACCCGTTGACCATAAAATTCGTACGACGTCCCAGTACAATATTCTTTGATACTGTTTCTTGTTGTAATGGATTGAAACTGGGGGAGCTCTAGTGAGCGAGGTCAGTGATTATGATACTCATATTAATTAGTGACATTTTGTCAAATAGACCGGCTGGATTCGTAGTGTGTCTAAATCCCAACTCGTACTAATAACATTTATTAATAATAATATTTAAAGAACCACAACCACTACTTCTTTTGCTACAGCGAGTACGACAAAAACGGCATCTACCACACAAGAAACTAATAATCATGGACCATGACAACCACATCACCTGCTCCCACCACTAATAATACTTCCACAAAACATTGTACTAGTTAATGTCTAGAACTACGACCAATACTGCTATAACTGCTATGACCACCAATACTACTACTGTATAATGAGAATCAACTTATCACCTCAGTATGAGTTTACGCAATATCACGCACACTATAGTCTGGAAGGTAATTTAAGGTACCGACGTTTACAACAATATCTTAAAAACTATTGGACCTAATCCAGTCAAAGTTGGTATGAGATTATTAAACAGTCATACATAACTGGATAATTCATTTAAAGACAATCGGTGCATGAATAACAAATCTGTCTATTTAGTTATCACTATATTTCATCAACAACCAGATCTGTTCTTCACGGGTGGAACGAGCATTCATTGAAACAGCCAACTGCATAATGTTACCCCTGCGTCACAGGGTCATATGACAAAGTTGAACCAATCAACTCAAATCGAAAGGGTGCACAGGAATCACGCACGCACGAATGCGGTGTTAGCGTTGGGCGTCTCAACGTGCGTGATTCCCGTGCACCCTTTCGAGTTGAGTTGATTGGTTCAACTGTGTCATATGGCCCTGTGACGTATTGTACTGCATACCACCAATACTTTGGATTTGGAGATTAGCAGACCAAGGCCCCTACTGGCAGGGCTTGCGGAACATACAACATTTCAAAGAATGAAAACTCAAAGAACTTCTATATGCTCTTCCTTGTCAATTCAAATATTGCTGGTGTCATCTGCGTTTGAAAAGGTAGCGTTTGAATGATTGGTATACGAATTTTGTCTGACAGTGTTGTCCATTCGGTTACATTTGGAATGCTTCATGCTATGTGAATAGTTTATTCATTGCATGCCCAAACAAACTCCTCACAAGACTGTATGACAGGAGGGACGACTTCAACTTTCCATTTATGTCGAGCAATAATCCAACAGTTCCAGCCTTTGGTATCTACATTTAATAACTTTTAAGTTACAATCGAGCATGCTCTTTCTACGAAGGTTTCATACAGCTCCATACGATTCTTGCTCAAAAGTTGTGTGATCAAGGTTACTTAAAGGTCCTTAAAGCTTTCAAAACGTCTCATGGTAGACATGTTGAGGACATATCCATTTGTTGACGTTTCAGTGACAAGACTTCTGTCCCATGCAATTCCTATATTTAACTTGTACAATATGTTCAGGAGAACATTTCACTTGATCATGTTATAGTCGTAATCTTACAGATTTACATAGAAAGATTTTATTGTGAGTGTTAAAATATGTTATTTTAAAGGAAGAGGTGTTTCTATAGATAACTAATTGTGTGTTCACAAATCCAATTCATATGATTAATATCTATTCTTGAATATAAGTTTAAATGGAAAATGTAAGGTATTTTTCCCCTAAGTTGAAAATCAATAATTATAATACAGACTGAGTAACAGACTGAATAGTATAGATCCATAGCAATACGATTGCCTTCACGATAACGAAGAAAACAACAGGTGTTTGTAATGACCAACAGAAATGAATTTCGCAGGAGCTGATCTAAAACAATTGTGAGAAATGTACATGTATATTACGTGTTAGATTGACAACAGCTGAGTGAGTTGCACGTGGTATTGGTATTTACACAAACTTGAATACTATTTTTAACGAAAAGAATCAGGGACAGGTGTCTTATTTCACTTAATGTCCATGGCTTTTATGGATGTAACGTGATCGCTTTTGTGGCAATGATAATTTTCATTTGCTTTAAATTTGACAAAGAAAAGACGAAAGTTGTTTGAGCACACACACAAATATTGATACCAAGAATGTGCCTGCCTTTTTGACAAATAATGGTGACTACACGAACATGAAACAAACATGTAACGAGTTTAATTATCTACAGTCGTTCAGACTTTTGAACACTTCCGTTTAATAACCTATTCAGTTTGTCTTAATCACAGATAATGACAACCTTCACATCAACAATATGTTGAACCAGTTTGCGAATGAATCTTGGTTTCTACTAATACCTCAACGGACTATACCAATATCTTAGGCACAGAGATGAACGGACGGCAATATAACTTGACACTTCAACATATTTTATGTTGTCGAAATAACAGGAGAGAAATTTGGTTCCGAGACACCCAGAAAGATTCATTTATGTATGATCAACTGGTGTGTTATTTCCACTGCTATTGACATGACGTGTGATTGGACTGGAAGGATACTATTCTTTATGACCTTTCCGTTGAGGAACAGGGTGTAAATATATCACTGTTGTTTGCCCGAGTACCGTGGCACCAACGGCTGATGATACAAGACATTTTTGGAACTAAATTTGTGAAAGTGTAAAGAATGTCAATGGGAAAAAGAGAGAAACAAAGCACAATGTGTTGCTGCATGATTCACATACAAGCTTGAGACAAGCGCCGGGCGCCCGGCCTACTTCAACCGACCTATCACTTCTGCCAATGTCTGTACATGTATTTAATAGCTTATGTGACTACATGTAACTTGACGGTGGATAAATGTTGTTTTCTTTGCAATTCTCGATGTAAGATACAAATTATACACTGTCATTATATTCATTGTTTTTATGTTGAACTGGTCATGGTGGTTGTTGACAAAACTTTGGGAAAAGAAAAAATGTCCTCCAAACATGGAAGAGGTGAATATGCTGTTAATGTGTATGATGATCACAAATAGAAGGTATGGGGATAGATATCAAAATCTGGAGAGTCAGAATAGGATGTTTTTGTCAACAAGGCCGACGAGTTGGCGCCACATATCCAAGCTGGGACTAAGACTGTAAGACTTCTGTCAGTAACCTTCTTATTTGTCGCCGAAGATGTCGTGTCGAACCCACTGGCTCCCAAACAAGAACCTGAATGTGTACAGACGAGGCTATCTTCTCAGAATGTCTCTGGTCAAGTAGTTATCGCATCTTATTCTGACAGTGCATCTATTTTCTTACTTGCCCGTGAAGAGATCACCTGTTTAATAAACATACAGCTG